CCCCGTCTTCAGAATTTGGGGAAATAGTGACTTATTATAATTCTTATATCATGGATAAAACTCAAAGACGTCGGAGTTTCGATCTTGATTCCATCCTCATGTTTGTTGGCTAATTAATTTGTATGTTTTATTCTTAATTTTTATTTTGGTTCGTATGCTTTTTCAATTTTTCAGTATGACCTCTATTTGAAGTTCTCTAATCTCTTTGACATTAATGAAAAGTAATAGAAATTTAAATGACCAAAGTTGCACAACTCTTCTTAAATAGAAGGATTTGACGAATCCGATAAAATAAAGAGATTATGCACTCCAATACTTAAGTTAGATCTAGGTTTATGTTAAGCGTAGCGAGAATTAAGATTTAGTTGTGTAATTCAATTAGGGGACTTTCATTCGTATTAACAGAGATAAAATCTATAATTTACTCAATTCAAGAGGCATCTGCATAGAGTTAGATAGTCACTCAAAACAGTGAGAAGATAATGTCAGCCCATAAGAACTTGGCTCACGTCTAAGTTCGACCAGTGGGCGATTTGGTCCAATGACTCATGTCTCTACCCTTATCTTACGATGCTCGGTTTGTAGGCTAATTCCTTAGCAATTCATGTCCGAAGACTTGGCTCTTGGTTCATCCCTAAGCCTAAAGACATAAGATGACGTGGGTTGACTTCCTGAATTTTTGTTATTCACTTGTCAACTATGATTTTTTCCTACAGTTATTTCTAAATATTGAGAGTTACCTTCTTCACTTCACATTTGGGCAGAATTTAATTACAAATCATTGTTATTAATTTAGAGAAAGTTAGTTAAAAATATAGTTTTGGTCTGATCTAAATGTTTATCTAATAGATCTTTTTAACTTTCAAAAATATTTAATAGATACTAGACTTTTAAGTTTGTGTCTAATAATTAATTCAATTTTAAAAATGGTCAATTGATTTAACTTGTTAGATACTTTTAAACTTAAAAAATGCATTGAATGTTATGTAAAATTGAGTATTTATTACATAATTTGACACATCACATCATTAAATAATCCATTATTTTACTTTATGATCCCACACCATTCTCAATAAATGAAGGCAGTGGTAAAAAAAATTCTCCTTACTAACGACTTACTTTTTAAATTCACACTTATGGGTCACAAACCCCGACATCAAACTTATAATTTAACATTTTAAATTCTAATTACTAATTGTATTGAACTTTTTGTTGTGAACCATAATAAATCATATTTTCACCCATAAATACTTCTAACCAAATCTTCTTCACACGGAATTCACATCTCTGCTACAGAGCTAACAGTGGGAAGTACTTCATAACCACCATCTTCTCTCTCCTCTCTCTCTCTCTCTAACCGCTAATTTTTCAGATCTCAATCACACGCCGATCCTGCGGCACCGGCGACGAAATGTCAAAGGAATGCGCTCACCACA